TCAACCCTAAAACAAACATCGAGGTCATGAGAATAAAGGAAATTATCACCAACTAAAGAAGCTCTTGATTGTTAAGCAAATTTTCCTTGTCAGTACCAAAGGAAATGTATAGAGAACATTGTGAAGAAAACGTATACTGATATTAGGGTGTAAAGTGTTAACCAGCGGCCTCAGAGAGTGCGTGACCTCACGCTAAGAAATACAATGCAAAACGTCACGCGATGGGCATTTTGATGGAATTTCATTTCGTTTCATTTCAAATTCGATATCATTCTCGATGGGATCTTACACGATGCTGGTCAAAATATTATCATGATCCGACCCAAATGAATAAAGCCAAGTAATTTTGTGCAGTCATATTAATGCTGGTCGGTCATTCCTTACTGTTGCTGAGTTCGAACCGATTTTGTTTAATGTTTGGTTCGAGAACGCATCACGCATAAATCGATCAGAGCTGTTGCCAGACTATATCTTAAGGTGGTAATTTAGTGTTATCAATTGAGTTGATAACGTAAATTGGCCAGCGTAAAGAGTTAGAAAGCTGACGTTTCGAGCGTTAGCCCTTCGTCCGAGCTCTGACGAAGGGCTGATGACGAGACATACTATCCATGGATCAGTAAAATATTGCTATACCTTGAGGAATATGCATAACTGCCAATGTAACACCACCATTTGCGTCGGGAAACAAATCTTCTTTGATGTTGTATTTTGGTAACCAGCGAATAATCGGCATGAGCCGAGCCAGAAAAGAGATCAAACCACTCCATGAACACGAACTCGGAAAAAGCTTTCGTTGAACGACATGCCAGTAATGGCTCTTCTTCGATGAGCCTTCCTCTGCACTCAGTGGACGGCCATGAGGTCTTGTTGCAGTGAAGAAGCTTTCCTCGTAAACGTTTCTGGCGATATCTATGTCAGGGCTTTGGCGGCAAACTGACCACTCTTTAAGCGATTCCATTTCATTTTACTCTGCAGACGAGAGTTTTGCCATTCACCCCATATTCAAGCGTATATAGAACTTACAGTCAATGGAAACAGGAGGTTAGGTAGAAGCTTGGGAGTCACTTGACATTTATGACTCACACGTGAAGAAAAAGTAATCGAGGAACATTTCAGCATTCACTTGGTGACAATATGAGTATTAGCGGTATTTGGTTACACTCGCGATTCGCGTGTGCAACGAGCAGCATGCGTGTTCGAGAGGACACGCGAAGGAAGTTGAGGGATTTCTCAGTCTGGAGGCCCGGCTACGCAGTCATTTCTATTACCAATGGAGAATTATTTAAAATATCATTTTGAAGAATGGCTAATGGTGGCTTGTTCACTTTTGCTACTCGGGTATTAAAACCGGACTGTCTTGCTATACCGGTAACCTCACTGACACAGAATCACAGTTTCTTTATAAACTTGTTCCCTTCATTCAATTCTCAGTTATCCGAGTGAAAAAGCTAACACCCAGTAAATGCTGGCGATATTATTGTCTTGCAGTTTATAGCCAATGAAAGGGTTAAATCTTTCCTCGTTTCTTCAGCATTTTGAGAACATAGATATGCACTCGTCTTCGGTAATAACTGCTACGTAATTATATGGTCGAATGCCATGTTGAACCTTCAGTTTATACAAATATTGAAGTGCTCTATTTACTGGAAAAAGAACTAAGTCCATACATACAGGAACAGTTAATCATTCGTCAAATTTGGTTGTTTAGAATCTAATTACTGTGACAACAAAAATAAAGAGAATATTTTGTTTGTAGAAGAATGCCGTCGAATAACGGCGGAACTGTCTGGTGCTTATGTAAAATATTCCACTCTGTCATGCATGAATTCAGTGCAATCTGACAAATTGACTCATTTCTGTCATCTATGATATAACCTGATCAATGAATTTTTAAGTTATAACGAATCCGTGAATAAGAAAATGAACGTCTTACATTGGAAAAATACTTGGGGATTTTCATTGTGGTCCAGTTTACAGAATTATACAAAGTTCCATCACTGAGGAAATAATGGGGTTTTCTCTCTGTACAATTGATAAGATAAATCCAATTTATTATTTTTTTAAATATTTATTAGTGCGGGTTTTATTCCGGGGACCTATGTTACCCACCATACGATTACGGGTTAACAAGGCGACCGTTTCATTTTAATTAATATTACCCCCTACCATGAATGACCGAATATTGCTTTCGCGTTTCCGCCTTTAGGTGACTCGGCAAATTTTACATAATACTCCAACGTGCCAGACCGGCAAAAAACGTCATCCGTCAAATTTTCTTCGCAGTAGATCAATATTAAAGGAAGTGTGGTTTGTAGTTAATTTGTTTGTTCCTTTCAGTGCATTTTTTTACGCACAATATACATAAAAACCTAGAAACGTTGTTATTTGTGTGACAAAATATAATATTTTTCAGACTTTTCAGCGATCGAAAAAAACGAACTCGCGGTTTTGCATATCATTTGTGTGTGCTGAGTCAAAACGAAACTCAAATAGGCAATATTTTCTTTACTGTTTCCTGTTAAATGCTTTTAGATTACTCATAGAGATAATTAACTGCTCTTTCTATCAGTTTACCGGCGTGATAACCCACGCGGAATGTTGAGAGAACACAGGAGAAATGTTTGTAAAATACGAGTCGAAGGTGAGTATTTACAAACTTTTCTTTCTCGTGTTCTCAGTACATCCCGCGTAAGTTATTGCGCCAGTAAACCGATAGAAAGTGCGCTCTATTGCTCCTATAAAATACGTTTTTAACATTTCGATATTCCAAGGATTAACGGGTGCAGTAAATCATATGTTTTTTACCGTTCTGGACCCTTGTAGTGTCTTAAGTATCTCATAACATCAAATAAAGTATGCGTTGTAGGCGAGTGAAGCGGTGTGCGATCGAAGTACTTCAGATGCAGATCGGACGTGAATTTAACATTCAATGGTAATCACAAAGTGTTGTCTGTTGAGTAGAAATTTGCATCCCAGCAGTAAAATGACTCGACAATATCGGGACAAGTGCACCCGGCTGTTTAAACTATGAAAGCCCGGGTTTTCTGGTCTGCAATATCGTATCCCCAACCGTTGATGGTAAGGTAAATACCTGGTCGACGCTCCTGTCAATATCGTTGCCACAAAAATTGGGAAAAATATATCTATGACGGCAACAAAAAAAAACATCATTGTATCCGCAATGAAAAAAACACCTGTCGCAATACTGTCGATTGCTTGACGACGCATTATCCTGTCGCATAAATTTATGTTAAAGCAAAACTTTGGAAAACGAATCTGGTTTTAACCAAACTTTGGCCTTTAGAAATACAAAAACGGACTTGGGAAAATTTAGGCGGCAATCTATGGAACTTGATTCTGCTGATCAGTGACCATAACTTCAGTTAAGTCTCCGAGAGCTCACGTGGGGTGACTTAAGCTCTTACAGAATAGCTAAGTTGTGGGACGTAATTAATTTTAATACTAAAAATTTTCTGATGATCTGATCGCATGATGTGTGATGCAAAACAAGATCAAGAAAATTGAGGGTATCGCTAGAATATGGCCTCATTCAGTTTTATTTGTTCTGTTCTTTTTTTTTTCTGTTTTTTTTTTCCTTCGACCTTCCTGTATCTAAGCGATTTTATGAAGTGCGAGATGTTGACAGGTATTTTTTAATTTAATTGTTGATTTTTTTTCCGAGTTATGGCGAAATTTCCCAAGAAGCTTCGAAATAAATGTGTGGTTAGGCTTCCCTACCTCATTCAAACCTTTCGCAGTCAATAAACGTAATTCTTATATTATTTACCTATCGCTTATTTTTTTTATCGAAAAGATTACCTTGAGGAATATGCATGATGCCAACTGTAACACCTCCAGTGATATCAGCTGATAAGTCCTTCTTTACGTTGTATTTTGGCAACCAGCGAATAATCGGAGCAAGACGGACAATATGAGAAAGGAAACTATTCCACGAGCATGAGCAAGAGGCAATTTTGTGGTAAACTTTTGAGAAAGGACTCTTTCTCTTCGCCAGTTCTCCAGAGCTTGAATCACCATTTGTCTCTGTCAAACACCTTTCATTATAAACGTTTCGTCCGATTTGAATATCGAGTTTTTCATCACAAATTGAAGAGTATTCCTCCATTGCAGAAGAGCTGACTCAAGCAGAAACCCTTCGATTGAAGCCACGACTGTTATCGTCGGCCTCTCTCCGTGTTAGACCAAACAATTTTAGATTTTCCCTTCTCTAAACAAAGGAGTTATTAATAATCGCGTGTATGACGTTGATCTCTAATGACAATAAGCTTCAATGCCCGTGCAGAACACTTGTAACTTTCTATATCCGCTTTGAACTAAGCCATTATTTGTTCAAATGACAATATAGCCCTCAGTTACAGTTATCCAACTACACCCAAAACATAGAGGTCAATTATTCAAGGGTGATGAAGTGTGTTAAAACGCATGACGGCTCTCTCGGCGGAAAGATCCACCGAAAAAATCCAAAACAAGAACATGAATAACTACGATCCTCTCAGAAACTAAGGAAAAATTATTTTCAATCAGCTCTTCGTTCGATTGATCCCTATTTCTTTCCTAAACCAAGATGATAAATAAACAATTTAATTTGAGTGAATTAAACTTTGCCTCTTGCACAATGATATGAATATTCACTCGAAAAAGTTTGCCTCTATCGAAATGGCTTCGTACGTAACCGAAACCTCTGGTTCCACCGAGAACTCATCGCTTTTTTCTGATCGAAGGAGGCTGATGAAAGTCTAAGCGACCTTTATTATATCGGGAATGACAGGTGTAAAGTTCTATAATACATTTCCTAACAATTGTAAAATAGCTTAGGTTGTGATCTTTCTTAATCAATTGATTTTCAAGTCAAGTGATAGCCTTCGTGAGCCATGGAAGGAAATTTCCGGAAGTGGCGTACCAATCCAATCCACTTCACACATTCAAAGAATTACGATTTGAAAGCCACTCAAAAGACAGGCGATATCGCGACAGAGAGATCTGTGAAATGATACATATTTATTTCTCCTTTCTCTTAATTCGTTTTCAATTAGGATCAATTAACTTCAGTATGTACATGACTTTTAGTATTGACTGTTGGCGAAGTCTCCTCGTACCCGCGCTCTGTTGAGAGAGCAACGATATTTATAGCCCTCGGTCAACAAAATCAGGCGAAAAAGGGGGCCTCTCTTTGAAAAATCAACTACCGCTCAACGCTCGCTTCAACCAAGAGCTGGAACAAGCTACGCTCTTCATATTCCACTTCTAGACAGCGATATGGAAAAACAGCAATAATCGAGATATCTACAGGAGTTTAATGTTCTTTTAAGGACCTTAAAGTCGGCTTAGTGCATTTTATATTCTTCAAGGAACTTTAGCTGCCAAACTGTTCCACCATATTTCTCAAAATTTTCTCTTCCCATCAGACGAACCAGGGCCTCCTGAAGAGGAAAAACAAAAGTACACACACGCTAAGAACTGAAACGAATAATTACGTAAAACTGTCAATGGGTCGAACAAGCGAGCGATCGATGGTATCAACGAGGAAACACACAAACTAAAAAACAAACGAACGGATGAAAAAATGGGTAAAAAAACAAAACGAAAAAATTTAACATATGCAAAGGTACCTAAGTTCAATCAAGCTTACTTTGAATATCGCCATCGACGGGTTACATGACACAAGTTGAAACACGTAACATGCATGATACAAACAATGAACAACTTAAAATGACAGGAAGTAAAGCTTACCTCAACATAGTCTTCTTCCTGGGTGTTAATAATATTATACGCTTCTATCAGCAGGTCTTCGCCGATTCCGCGTAAACATTCCCTATAAAAAAAAAAGGAATGAGTATGTTCGATCATAATGGCTCTTTCTCGGGCACACCCTTTATGTAAACGCGCATCGCTAACAAAATGTAAGAACCTCACAAAAAGACCCACTTTAATTCTCATCTTTTCTTTCCTTCTTGCATACATTACCTACTCTGGAGCAAAGCCATTCTCGAGCAACCAGCCCGTTCCCTAACCCAACATTAACCCGAACATGTTATTAGTTGACTATCGCTGGGTTAGGGGAGGGGTAGGTGCGTAGTTGCTCAGATAGTGACGTTGATCCCCTATCCTTAACGATTGTTACCGATCTAGAGCTTCGCATTGGACTCTTTTTAGCAAAAAAATTGGCTACCTTCTTAATCGCTCTATTCGGTCTCGTAATCTCCCGGATGCTGTGGGCGATCCTCCTAAAAAGGGAAAAAAGTTATTGATTATTCCTAAGCTGACTGGATCAGTAACACTTAAATAATTTTTTTTTTGGCTCACAATGTGGTCCTTCCATGATGAATCGATTCATAATCAATTTTTTCAAATACAGCCAAGTCGTCGAGTCAAATACAGGCAAGATCCTTTAAAAAACTGTAACTTAATCCATACAAACACTGTAGAGTAGCCCAAAATCACGAGGTTGGTCAAAAAAGGACCCTCTTTGTGCTAGAGTACAGTAAGTGGCTCCGTATTGAGGTGATGTTGCCGCCGACATGAAAACATCTTTTTATCAAACTTGCGCGTGCCGGGCGGCAGATAAAAACCTCAGATAGGAATTTTATCAGGGACAAGAGAGGAAATGGTAAGATCAGCCATGAAATATGTTGTCAACTTACGTAAGAGAAGAGCCCCCTTCAGAGTTTGAAGAGGGTTTTTATTTTAGTATTAAAAGTAAAGCAAAAACTGATTTGCTTATATAGAGGATATTACATGGCTGCGCGGGGATACGAATTTTATCTTCGAGTGCGGCCATGTAATGCTCTGTTTAATTTACTTATACTAATGAAATTTCAGAAGAACCGGCCGCGCGCCTGAGCGGGAAGCTCTCTTGTAATTGACTAATCATGTTAGTTACCATGGCGACACCAATATCCTAACACGTGAAAGAAAAAAATTGTATCTTCACTGCACGTGATGAAGATATGATTTTTAGTTAAAGGAAAAATCCTGGTATTTCATCAGTATCTATATAATAAACTCTTTTAAGTTTCCTCGCAACGGCACTTTAAACGGACTAACTTAGAAAGTAGAGAGAAGTTTCTTTCTTACCAAAGGGTACATCCAGGGGTTCTTCCTCCTCTGGTGTTTCAAGCACAGCATCCACATCCGGGGAATCTCTGTCAGCACCGGCATTTGACATTTTCAAGGTGGTGTCCAGTGCAGTGATCAGAGACGTGACGTCACTTTGTCTGCGCGGATTCCTACAAAGTATTTCACATATGGGGTCACTTTCTGAGGGAACTGTGTTGCTGCGTCGGCGGGGTATCACAAGATAATTTGGGTGAGTTAATTAAGTAAATTCGCCACCGTAAAGAGTTTTTTAAGCTGATTTTTCGACCGTTAGCCCTTCGTCACAGCAAATAAAGGATTTGTGGGGTGTCTGTGGTTCACGTAAGGCCTCTGTTAAATCATTTGGTTTAATTTTCTGATGAGTTTTCACATTAGTTCCGGATTGATTTGGTTTTCTTTGATTCTCTCTGCTATAAGTTGGCACAAAAGTTTGCCATCGTCTGAACCAATCTTATGCTAAACAAAGACCGGTCGTGACGAGATCCCATGCGTTTTCACGCTCCTCAGTTTGCATGCCCTTTCAGTCCTCATTGTCCCACTGGGGCCCTTTTTCCTTTCTTTCAATTTTCCAGTGCTGTTATTGTGGTTTCAGTTTTACGACGCCAAAAATTACTCTGAGAGAGATGTTCCAGCCATCTCAAGAGATGGCTGGAACATTTTCAAAGCGCTTATGGATTAAATGTTACTTACCTCTGCGCAGAGGCAGAAGGTTCATCCATATTAATCTCCTCCAGCTCCGAGTCCGAGTCGCTGTCCTGTTCAACTGATTCCTGGACACAAGGATGAAACTTGCAAATTTAACATTTTTTTTCCCTACATATTGTGAGCAATTGAATGTTAGCCAAGAAGTTGTAAGAACGATCTGGTCTCAAACTTGTCACGAGCGTCAAAGAAATAGAGAGAGGGGAACCCTCTACCCTCTCGACTGCTTCCTTCTCGGAACCCCCTACCCTCTCGACCACTTCCTTATCCGTCGCATTCCTCAACTCTATTGCACGGATGCTGATTTGATTACGTCTTCTTCGAAAGCATTGAATAGACAAGCGAACACAGCCAGGGCTCGCTGAAAAGACTCCAACAATGAGACTGCTCGCATTCAACGGAACTTTCTTTCCTCTTAAGAATTAAACGCACGAAACATGCATATAGCAGCGTAAAAAAATCCTTGCTCTTTGTAGTGATGTAAAGTACAGTGCAGTATCATCCAATCTCGTCAACTTTCGGCGGCAAGATTTTCTTCTGTAAACATGATATGATCTCTCTCAGGCCTGCTTATTTACTGGCCTAAATGACAAAATTCTGTGAGGCTTGAAGAAAACACGCATTTTGTTATAATTCATTCATTAACCCACCGTGTTTGAAACATTGCCGGATCCTTGTCGCACGACAGGCCTGGCTCCATCTGGGATATCAAATCCCTCCGAACTCAGCTGACGTCTAGGATCGCCGCCCGCTGACCCCTGCCTAGGAGTGGCTGGAAAATGACATAAAGAAAGGTTAGAAAATTAGATGGGAGGCTCGGTCAGCCATGAAAAAAAGGGAAGTATGCCAGATTACGTTATCAAGAGGGATAAAGAAGGACGAGTAGATCAAAACAAGCTGGATTTCTTTAAAACATGAGGCGTTTTCAAAGCGACAACAGCTAACTGGTAACTTCACAACGAAGGTTAGCACACGGTAAGCCAGAGATTTAAAATGAATGCAACGGGTTTTCAAATTCCAGAATAGGCAACACTCACTGGAAAACTATTTGGGTAAATATTTCTGTGACAAATACAACAAGCGGTTACCTACTCTTAAATAAAAAAGAACCCTGGAATGGGGGATCTAGGCTCGGATTGCAAACGTCGACCATGACAAGACCAGTACAAAGTTTTCTAGTGCACCACAACTTACCTCCTGGACTGCTCTCTTGAGAACGTTTGACCTTGGCGGCGATCACTTCACTAGGTGAGGGAAGTACAGGTGCTGAGGGTGGGGTAGGTACGTTTTTGTCACCCTTTTGTTTCTGTTTAAGCCGTCGTCTTTCACGGGCCGATAAGCCACTCTGTAAATCAAGTCAACACAATAATGACTATACATAAAGGTTTGACTATTTATCACATAAATGCATACTTGAGCGTTTTGAGTCATTGATGGAATCTAGAGAGCGCAAGGTCTCTTAGACAAGTTTCTCCTTGTTGTTCTAACCCCTTTTCGCGTAAAATTCTCCACCGAAATCTTCACTCTTTCAAATAATTCAAGTGAGTATCGCGTCGCAATTCTTCGATGGTCTGTGTAAAAATGGCAAAGGATGTTGCAGCCAAGAAACCACGAGTCCGTAGGGTAGGAAGGCTTGGACTTCTCTAACTCTCTAACTGGCCTCCCTACTCTGGCTGCGAGAAAGGCTTCGCGTGGCTTTGATATAGATTTCAAGATGGGCTGCACCAAGAGATAACACCGTGCTATACTCACCGAAGGTGTGCTTTCACTAACAGACTTGGCACTAAAAAAAAATTAGGAAAAGAGAATCAGACGTGATCAGTTCACACTTCTCATAACTTCAACAAGACACCGCACTTTATGATATTTAGTGAATGAGTATAGAAGATACATTAACCTCTCTAGATACTTAATCCACAAGTAGATTCTCAGATCTCAGGATAAAAGCACGAGTTATTTGTAGTTGAGAGAATCTTTGTTTTGATATTGCACCTTGATTCGGAATCCGCGTTACTCTTATCATCTTCCTCTTCTTCCTCCTCTTCCTCGGCGTATTGGGATCTGGCCGCGTGTGAACTGGACGTTACTTTGTATCTTCGCCTCGCTCTGGGACTTCTTGACGCAGGCAAATCTCCCCCAGGAGGTCCTCCTTTGGGAGGCTGGGGCAAGGGTCGCTGAAGTTGGGATAAAATAATTTGATACGTTTAACTTAATGGGAAGGACAACTTAGTATGTAGCATTCTTAACAAAATCAAATAGTGATCACAAAAAGCCTGAGCTCCTAAAAAGATCTTCAGACGCAAACTCTGCTAAATGAAGTACAGAGAACGAGTTGATAAGCAAAGCCTTCCACAAGTTGCCCTGTAGGACAAGTGTTATTCTTTCGCGTTTTTCAGACGTGCTTCGATATTTCCTCCACTCGCCGGAAAAGCATAAAGAGTAACATCTGTTTCGCACGCCATATACGAGTTTCAAATGACTACATTGATACATGTGTGATTTGCTTTCCTCTTTTTTCCCAACAGCTCAACGAGTAGTTCACTGTTATGACTTTCTGAAGAAAATGTGGTGCGGGCTAATGAAACACTGACTTGAACATGAAATAGAAGTTAGTAACGGAAGAAAAACAACCACAATGGCTTTTCAATAGTTGATATTTCAAGCCTGATCGTCGTGATCATCGGTACAAAGGTACATCAAGTCTCACCTCCGCTTTGGGCGTTCTTGATTTGGCAGGACTAGGTTTACCTCTCTTCTCCTCCAAACCTGCTGCTTTCTTTACATCCTCCGAAGATCTCCTGACAGGAACATCTTTTCCTTCACCACCTCTCTCCTTCACTGACTGTTTATTACTTGTCCTCTCACTACCAGCCGACTTCTTCCTCTCGCCCATTTGTTTCCTTATCAGTTCTTTTTGTTTTAAATCCACAACATTTTTCTGCTCAGTTTTCTTGACATCCACCTCCGTTCTTCCTTTTTCAGAAGAGCTATTCGACGAACTTGTGGAATCTACCGAAGATCTACCATGGTCATTTCTCGATGAAGGCTTTGGTGATTGTTTTGCTGACTTCTCGTCGACTAAAACACAATCTACAGCAGAAACTGTCGCGATAGAAGCTTCAAATACAGATCCTACGTATCCAGAATCTAATTTGGGCGGTTCTGATGAAGATGATTTTGATTTAGCACTAGCGGTTCGTTCTTCCTTTGAAACTGTTTTCTGCTTTTGTCTGCAAGAGGGAAAGATGAACAAATTATGTAAGCAAACATTTGTAGTTTGCATTTAGATCAGAAATAACTTGGTAAATACAGGTGTAGGTATCCAAGCTCCCCTTCCGCGGGAAAGGGTAGGTTCTCAACTTTTAGGAGCTAACATTTGTGTTTTAATGAATCTGAGAGAGTCAACGCTGCGACTTCAAATTCCACAATAAAAGCACAAGTAGCAATCATTTATTGCCCACGTTTGACGTTGCCAGGCAGGACATCTTCCTAAATTAAAGGTAACTTTCCAGAAGAAAAGCTCAAGTTACTAATGATTTTAACCAACCTATTTTTTGTTCCCTCAAGGAAAAGAGCAATCTGTTTCTTGATGTACGTGTGACGTAAAAGGCGTGAGGCACTGGGTCTCTTCTCGGGTTCTAATTCCAACATACTCTGCACAATCCCACGCAGATCAGTACTGTAATTTGATGGCAGAGGTGGAATCTGTTATGATTGGAAAAAAAAAATGACTACTCAACAAGCGAGGCAGACTTTTCCGTGGTCACTGTTAACCCTTTCACTCCCTGAAGAGGCCAACAAGGAATTTCTCTTCACCACAACAATACTGACATCTCAACCATTTAACTCCCAGACCAAATTTTTAATTCTCCTAGCTGTCAATCATACAATTCTTATGATGTTAGCTCAGAGAATTGAGTATTGGATTAACTAATTATCTCCAAAATGATATTTTTTTAAATTCTCATCACTTATCTGGTTGATATTGTATTGATATTGTAAGGAGAAATTCTGTCTTGGTCACTCATGGGAGCTAAAGGGTTAAAGCAGAGAGATGAAAAAGGAAGGTCAGAGAGAGGCCATTGTTTGATTAAACTCCAAGTTCTCAAAGCTAATATTATGAAAAAGGTATACCAGACAGTACAGAGAATTGGTACTTTATTAGATCCTTAGAGTGTTACCAAACTCAAGAAGCAGAGCATTACATTCTCATTTGATCATAACATACAATTTTGGTGAAATACACTGTGGGTATTGGTGAACTTAACATGTTACAAACACACATATTGTACGATGTAATGTCTGGGGTGTACATTGCTGTTTAAGTAACCTTTGAATCAATAGCCACAGCAGAAAGACATTTTTTAAAAATCTACCACGCCTTACTAGGTGAGCAAGGTCATTAGAGCTGCACCAACAGCAAAGCAAAACTGTGAAAGAATGAAGATTTTTTCCCTGTCCAGCACTGGTGTGAAACAAAAAAATACCTTAAAGGAGGTAAGTTTCCAAGTAAACTGTAGTGGTGCCTCAGTGGGGCAGTATACCAAGATAATTTTGCTTTCATCACCTGGGTGGATAACGTAAACTGGCCACAATATAGAGTTTCACAGCTGACATTTCAAGCATCAGCCCTTCATCAATTGTTCTGACAAATGGGGCTATTGCTCAAAATGTCAGCTTTGAAACTCTTTATGGTGGCCAATTTGCATTATTAAGTCAGTTGATAGGACCAAGATTACCCAAAATTTTCTTATTTTGCTTGACAACTGAGCTTGATATTCAACATCTTTCTTATCCTATTTCTATTTGCAGAGCAAAATGTAGATAAAAATACTTCACAAAAACAATTCCTTTTTGTGCTCATACCTTTCCTTTAAGTATCTTGTAAACTAAAGAACTCATATCCTTTGCATTGAATGCATGTCGCAATGTGCACATCTCATACAAGCAACAGCCTAAAGCCCAAACGTCAGACTAAAAAGTAGAAAGAACATCAATCAAAAATCAATATCAACAATTATTAATGTTGCCAATGCCACAAGAATCACTGAAAACCAGAGTAACGATTGACAGTGTTCATTAACAACCAAGAATATCATTGTGCTGCAAGTAAAAATAAAAGCCCCCTGGACATTGTGATTGTCCAAGTAAAGGTTGATTTTAATAGAACTGTTGTCTGTGACAGCGACTGTCATTTTACAAACCTGTGTGGAGATGAACATCAGAGCCATGTTATGCTGGAGATCTCTCTAAGTTGGACGTGTTACTGTAACTCTGATTCATGCAAAACAGTGGAAAAAGTATCCACAAACCAGACTGAAAAACAACTCTCCACTAATGGTTATAACATCAGCCACTACCAAACTGACAACAGTCCTTTTTTTTTAGAACCTGAGATCCCATACACATGATCACACTATGAAACTCAAAGGTTTTTCTTACCTTATGGTTATAAGGCTTGTTAGAAAATAGCTCTGGAGACATATAGTATGGCGTTCCAATCATTGTGGTTGCCATATCATAGGATGTTTCCAAAACTCTTGCTATACCAAGATCACCAACCTACCATGTAAACATAACAATAAAATGTGGGTGAACATACAGCAATAACATTATTTAATAGCATATGCCTTGGTCAAATGCATATCGGAATTGAGTTAAAATTCCACTGTGACTCACTTTGATTATCTTGCTCTTTGTCAAAAAAATGTTTTGGGTTTTTAGATCTCTGTGAAGAACATTCCTCTCATGCATATACTGCAAACACAAAAAAAAGACGTGTATCATATATCTACTCACTGCTTTAAAGTTGCTTAT